CAAATGGCAACAGTTTTTGGGATAAGAAGGGAGTTCTGCTGGTGGACTACCTCCAACAGGGTTCAACCATCAAGGCAAAATATTACTGTGCCTTATTGACAAAGTTGAGGCAAAACATCAAGGAAAAACGTTGAGTAAAGCACTCCAGAGGTGTCATCCTGTTGCATGACAACGCCTCGTCACACAGTGTAGGTGAAACAATGGCAAAACTGACATCCTTAGGCATTCAAGTGATGCCCCATCCACTCTATTCTCCTGACCTGGCTCCTTCTGACTATTATCCATTCCCCAAACTCAAAAAACACCTAAAGGGACAACAATTTGGGAGTGTTCTTAAGGCAACGAATGCTGCAAATGAGTGGTTACACCAACAGTCGAAATAATTTTATTTGCAGGGACTTAAGAAGCTGCAGGACAGATGTCGCAAATGCATTGACTTCCTGAGGGAATATGTAGAATAGTGTGGCAGTTACAGCTTCCAAGCTCATTTTTTTTCTGGGAAAGGCTCAATACTTTTCAGCACCCCCTCATAAACCTGTTTATTTAGAAGAATTTGGTTTGCCTGATTTTTCCGTGACCAATATTGGGAAGAAGAAGGTGGAGAGTGCTGGACATTATCACACATACAGAACAGAAGTGACTGCATAAATGCAAACAAAAACCAAACCATATCATTTTGTCTCTTCACTAAAGATGGTCAATATCCTCTGGTACAACTACACAACAGGTGCAACTTTGGGAGGAAAGCTGCCTCCAATTAAGAAATCTTTGTAGGCCACATGACTCTAAACAATGGATAATACCTATATAGATTAATATTTGGCAATGTGCTTCCAAAAGTTACATCATTTGTGTTATGTCACCATAACATGGCAAAAGGATTTTGGCCAATGTTTATGTAGTTCTGAGTTGTCACCACCAAGGCCATGCATTCAAGCAAGTTTATTTGTGGTTTTCCTTCAACTCAAAATATTCGCAATGAAAAAGTGAGCATGTATATGGATGAAAATGCTGTTGCTTGGCACAGTAAAACACAATAATTAGGCCCACCGAAACAGTGAGGATTTGGTGAGTCATCTCCCTTTATAAATTTCAAATAAGCACACTCTAGTTGCAGCTTACAAGCAGTAGGTCACAACTAGAGTAGACCTATTTGCATCAACAGACTTCCACAGGAGCTGACTCACAAAATTTATTTATATTTTTTATTTATTATTTGACTTCTACCCCGCCCCTCTAGACAGAGTCTACTCAGATAAAATCCCCATTGATTCAATACTACAGTGTGATTTACTATGCTAAGCAACAGCATTTCATCTTATATATATTAATTCTTTTTATTATGATCCTGTTTCAATTAGAAAAAATCACTTAATTCCAGGAAGAATGAAAGCATGATAAAAAGAATACAGTGTTTTATAAATATTTAAATCATATTACCTTAATATCAACAAGGAACACATACAATAACAAGAAACAAAAACTGAAGCATATAGAAGTAATGAAGCAGCTCAGAAATAATCAAAGAGACTAAGCACACATCTCAGAGGACTAGAAAAAGATACAGGTTTTAGATCCACATTATGTTTTTTAAAAAAGGAAATATAGTTATTACACGAGTTATGGAAAAACTCCAAATTGTTATAAAATCCTAGTAAGAAATATTCATTCTTGCATTCATATAAGTAATAAATGGCTCTCAAAAGTATGTGATGATCAAAATGCTTCTATTAAGAAATGTGAGAAATGTAGAACAAAATGTATAACATAGTTGAATTGAAAAAAAAAAGTGAACCTGCTCGTAACAGGAAACTAGCATGTTATTCAGAAGCTGTAAGTGCTTAAAGCAATCAACATGATTTAAAACTGACCAAAGGCAGAAATGGAGATCAATAGACCAGAAAACATACTAATGACAGAAATACTATTAAGATGATGATTTACTAAACCTGAGTGCTGATGAACCAACAATATGTAGCGGACACCCTGCCTTCCCATATATGTAAGGGTATTATTCTGCACCAATGGGAGTTGGTCAGAGGCGGAGCCAACTAGATGGAAGAGGGTCTGTAGCAGAGTGTGAGGGAACATCGACATATATAGGGTTTTTGACATAGAGAGAAAGGTTTGACAAGAAAGGAAGATACTTTGAATTTGAGGCAGAGAGAATTTAAGGAGTGAATAGTTAAGAGTGTTAACTGTATTAGTTAAGATAGAAGAGGCTACAGCAGTGATGGCAAACCTACAGCAGGTCTGCCACAGCTGGCACGTGGAGATCTCTCCCTGGGCACGCGAGCAGAGCACTACCGCCTACCCTCACTCCCTGCAGCTGAACCTCAAACTGCACAATTGTAAGCCACCTATCCCTGCTACCTTCCTTGGTTGCAGCACTTGTAAATCAGTTCTTTTACAGATCGGAGATAAGGTTGCTTTATTGTTTTCTACTGTAGAACAGCCCGGGGCAGTCAATCCAGCTTGTGAATTACTACTTTCCCCGGACTTGACTGCAAGCAGGAGGGAAAGCTCCAATTAAGGCGGGAAGGAAGGTGCGAGAGAGCGTCGGGTGGATTAATCAAGCTTGTTTAAAGGTAAGTGTGATGGACAGCTCACGCGTCACTCCTGTCCATCAGGTTAGAGCTATGGTGTGGGAGCCTATGACAGGAGATGTGATGTCAGAACATTTGAAAGAAAACTGCAGGTTTTTGAGAGAGACCTTGGAAATGGGCAGCTGAAATATTTTGCAAATCTAAAAATATATTTGGATAATTCTACAACTTTTATGGACAATCCTACAAGCCATCAGGAAATCTGCAAGGAATTTTCTAGTATTTTAGCCGCTGCAAAGGAGAATTTTAGGAACAGATTTTTACAGTTCTGTAAGATGGAGACAACTCTTTGTTTTCTTACTTCTCCAGATAAAGCCGAATATGAATAACTTGATATTTCCTGCTTACAATGGTTAAATTTTGGAAATCTGGAAATGAAGCTATTGGAATTTCAAGAAAACTATCTAAAAAAATAAATTCTATGACCTGCGTGCAACACTGGAGAAGATAGAGTGTGAAATGATGACAAAGCACAGAACAGTTGGTAGTTCTGAAAATGAAATCTTTAAAGTGTGGAATTCTCTGCCAAATAATTTTAAGTCAATGAAAGCACTTGGGATTGCTCTTCTTACTTTGTTTGGGTCATCTTATGCTTGTGAGCAGCTATTTTCAGCTTTGAATTATATCAAATCTGATACCAGAAACAGACTGACAAATGACCTGAGTGCTGCATGTGTTGCGCTCAAACTAACAGCGTATAAGCCAAGGTTTGACAAATTATCAGCATGCATACAACATCAAAAATCACATCAATTGTGCAAAAGCATGCCATGTTGAGTATCCCTTTTAAAAAATACATGCACATAATTATTTTTGAAGTTTGTATAAATTACCTGGCTTCAGGCTATGTGTACATGTATTACTTTAATATTTTTTTCCATTTACTAGAGTTAATGGTTATTTTTCAATAAAAAAGGGTTTGTATCATTGAAAGTTCTGTTATTATGCTTTTCTTTAAAGACAAAAGGTGTTGTTTAGTTCAGACAACTGTCTGAGTTGTTTTTTCTAAACTAAAACCTCAGTATTCAGATTTAATTGCAGTGTTGGCACTTCGAAAGAAATAATTTGGTTTTGTGTTGCCGTTTGGGCACTCAAACTCAAAAAGGTTCGCCATCACTGAGCTAAAGGAAAATACTGAAGCTTTGTGTAACTTTAAGAATGTGCTTAGGAACTATTCCTAAAACAACTTGTAACCAATAAACCTGTTTTTATTTCAAAGTTAAATACTGAATGGACCTCAGTCTTTCATAGGAAATATAGTTGGTAAAGAGATCAACTGGTGTCAACAGGGTAAAAGACGTGTTGGGATACTCACATGAGCTCTTTGTCTGGTGAAGCAAACAGGGGCCATAGAGTAAACATCACAGATACTAATGACAGAAATACTAATAAGATGATGATCTACTGAACTTGAGTGCTGATGAACCAACAATAACAGTTCTTCCCCTAATTAAGGCATATAAACTGTGACACTGGAAAGACAGCTTAACTGTAGAGACGTGTTGGGATACTCACATGAGCTCTTTGTCTGGTGAAGCAAACAGGGGCCATAGAGTAAACATCACAGATACTAATGACAGAAATACTAATAAGATGATGATCTACTGAACTTGAGTGCTGATGAACCAACAATAACAGTTCTTCCCCTAATTAAGGCATATAAACTGTGACACTGGAAAGACAGCTTAACTGTAGCATGGAAATGACAAGACAGAAACAACATACCGTATTTTTCGCTCCATAAGACGCACCTTTCCATAAGACGCACCGATTTTTTAGGAGAAGAAAATAGGAAAATATAATCTGTTTTCTTCACTCCATAAGATGCACAGACTTTCCACCCCCCTGTTTTGTGGGAAAAAAGTGAGTCTTATGGTGCAAAAAATACAGTATATAAAACTGAAATTGTAGAAGGGGGCGGTCATGTTAATCTGTGCAAGCATTATTAGGTAAAAGCAAAATAGAAATAAAAAGTAAAAAATAGACAAAAATGCGGTGGCACTTTAAAGACTAACTTTTATGTTTTTAATGTGAGCTTCTGTGGACAAGTCTGATGAAGTGGACCTGTCCATGAAATCTTAAATTAAAACACGTAAAAGTTAGTTTTTAAGGTGCCACCATGTTTTTCTCTTTTTTAACTTTTAAATTTCTATTTTCCTTCTACCTATAAAATTGAAAATGTTGCTAAGAAAGTTTTTTTTTTCCTTCAGCCTGAATGGGTATTGAAGACGGCAGAAACAACAAAATACTACATCAGCCTCAACAATCAGGACTGACAAGGCTCGGAAAAATAGAATTGTTGGCAGGTGGTATGCAATAAAATCTGAAACAGACAGACTCTTGTCAAATATTTTTAGTTCTCAAAATGTTTTTTTCCTTACTTTTGCACCTATCGCAACAAAGAAAGGAAAAGTACAGTAAGTTGCATAGAATATACAAAGAAACAGTACCAGGTGGGGAAAAAACCTGTCAGCATATGAACTACCTCTTCGCTACAGATCTCATGATTTTCCAATGTGGCCTTCTGAGTACCCTTGCACATGACTGGCATCCATTTTCATATATTAGGACCCCATATTCACTCAGGATTGGTTCAAAGCCCCCTGCAGATACTGAAAACTGCAGATAATAGTGAACACTAGATATACAGACAGATAGATAGCATGGTAAAAGGATAAAAACGGGGGGGGGGGAATTCACGTGCATTACCACAACTAGCCACTGGAGAACAATAGAGACCATGTTATGCATTCCTCACTTATATAGCACGATCTCTGACTCCCCCTACTGGCTGTATCTGCTAATAAATGTGAAAACAGTTTTTCTGGATTTTTTTTCTTTTAATATTTTTAATATGTTCAGACCATGGATAAGTGAAACCGTGGATATTGATCCTGCGAATACAGGAATCCTACTGTACATGGCTAGAAGCAATTGCTTTCCTCAGACATGACAAACTGTCAAGATGCTCACTTAAACAGTGAGACAATTAAGAAGTGCAACATTATTTCAAGTCTGTTATTACCTAATTAAAGGCATCCTATTTCTATTTTACTGCTAAACTGTAGCACAGCTGCTAAATTACAATGCAAACAAATTAACCTACATACTCCAGAGTTAGGATAGATGTGCTTTGCAAATATTCCACAAAGACTCAAGAGCAATCCTCATTAAAAGCTCACAGTAAAATGTCAGCAGAGGGGAATGATTAGTACTGACTTTCAAGCAGTTCCACTGACACATCAAAAAAGCCAGAGACATCAAATTTTGCATGAGGCAAAAAGTTTGCTTCCAAACATACCCAGAGCACATATATTAAGCAATTTACTTACATTTGGCGTTTAATGTATTCTTTAAGTAGTGTTTCATCCACAGTATACATCTGCACTCCTGTTCCATCATCGTAGTAATACAACATACTAGTGTTAAGATCCAGTTGAAATGGCTGAGCAGTCCTTTCACTATACTGTTCTCGGTAGCCATACGCATATTCATTGCTTACTACAGAATTGGTACAGAGAGAAAAATTAAGTAAAAAATCCACTATGAGTACTTGAAAAGTACATAGTAAGTCTAGTGTGACTTACTATGCTAAGCACCAGGATTTCAGCCTATGTGTTAAAGAATTTTAAATGCACTCAACATGTACATTATAGTTTTTGTACAGAACATTTGTACTCCGTTTAAAGAGTCCTTCTTGTCTGGCATCTGGAAGCATGTGAATATACATTCCTATAATGAGAATACAAGAACCATATTTTCTGGGGTTTTTTATTATTTATTTATTTATTTATTTATTTATTTATTTATTTATTTATTTATTTATTTATTTATTTATTTATTTATTTATTTATTTATTATAAATCATAAACATGATTGATTTGCTTCTTTTTTAAATTGCCGATTTCTCTGTATGTGCCTTCTCAATTTCATTTTGTGATTCTGCTTGCAGCAGAAACAGACGTGCATTATCATAAAAAAGTACAGAATCTAGAGTTGTTAACTGTGGAAATTATGTGGATGTGTATCTTATGGCTATAAAATTAAAGGTAACCCTCCATCCTGATGAGTGCAGTGTTCGATGCCACCATGTACCAATCAAAAAGGGAATCTTCCTGCAAAAATTATGTTATTTTTGATGCAAGAGACATCCAACTATGGGAAATATAATATTAATATAGCAGCCAGGGAGGATTAGGTGGGTGACCTATGAAGGTTTGTATGGATGCGCTAAAACACTCCTGCTACAAAAACAAAACAAAACAAAGAAAAGGAAAAACAAAGGTGTGAAGATGTTTGTCAAGAACCATGTGATCACATATTAAAATGTGGTACAGATGCATTTTTGGGGTAGTGTAGTTAATATGGTGGCTGCTGTAGCTATAACTGTTGTGAATCCTGAAATGAAATCCACGAGGGAAGGAAATGCAGGCTTACAATTAGACATATTTCCCCCATGATAAAAGAATAAATAGATACAAGGAGCCCATATGTCTGTTGCCCAATATATTTGGTTTTGACCAACTTCTGAAAATCATCTTATGGTATATATTTTTAGAAAGGTTAATCTACATACTCCATACAGCTTATACAGTTCAATGCATTCCAATGGGGGGGAAAATTCACCAAAAATTAACGAAGACTCAGAACAAAGCCAAATTAATTCTGCAAAGGTTTTACAAGGTGCACTAATGATCCCAAGCATTTAAAACAGTTTTTGAACATTTTAAGACACTTTAAAAATAGCAAAAACGGACATCGCTAAGCAAAACAGGGCGACCTAAACTGTCATCGCTAAGCGAGGCAAGGTCCCGAACATCGCTATGCGAAATTTCCCCATAGGGAACATCGCTAAACGGAGTGCAAAATCACTCCAAAAACCTCATCGCTAAGCGAACACATCGTTAAACGAGGCAATCGCTAAGCGAGACACCACTGTACTTGCTGATGTGCATAGATGCAAAAGGAAAGTCCAATGCTGCAAAACACATATAACTGGACTATAGAATGTGGAAATAAGAATCAAAGTCAGCCTAAACCAGACAAAAGATAAACTGCAATACAGACCATGACCCATCAATATTAAAGGTTAAAGCTAAAAAAAGAGGACAAACTAATCACAATGCCAACACATAATCTAAATAACATTCCAGATTAAAGTCCATAATCTAAATAACATTCCAGATTAAAGTCCATGTAAAAAATTTGCAACTGCCCACAAATTATACACTAAAACCAAGATAGGAAGGACCAGGAAAGAATGCTCCTGTAGCCAAAAAAAGAGAAAAACCCTGATAGACAGATATTGTAACATTAAAAAAATATAAATGAGAAACAAAAGAAAAAAATGATAAAAGAATAGGTTTATTACCCATAATTGTAATTCTTTGAGTGGTCATCTGTGAATTCACATATACAGATGTTTCTGCATCTGCATGAAACTTGTCAGAACATTATAGAGCATTTCCCTGTTCCTAACAGTCATCTCTCAGTTCCCGTTCGTTGTCCACTGCTGTATAAGAGGCAGTGTAGTAGCATGGCAAACTGAAGCGAAGACTGGGTTGTGTGAATTCACAGATGACCACTCAAAGAACTACAGTTATAGGTAGGCAACCTGTCCTCCTCCATGGTCTCTATGAATCACACATATGGGCAACTGACAAGCTCACTTATGAGCTGGTGGGATGTCACACCAATATAGGAGAGATCACTGCCCTGCCAAATGCAGCATCAAGCTTGGCCTTAACATCCAGTCTGTAATATTTGATAAACACTGAGGGCTGAGAACACTTTGCAGCCTTACATACATCTTTTAGCTGGATCCCTTTAAGGAAGGGCATTGAGGCAGCAACAACTCTAGTTAAGTGACCCTTCAATGATCGAGGAAGTCCTCTCTTTGTCAGCTGGAGCATACTGACAAGCCACTTTGACAGTCACTGGAGCATTACCTTGAGACCTGATAACTAACAAATAGTCAGTTTTCCAAACTTATTCCATGAACTACAGAATGCTACAACTCTACAGACATCCAAGGGATGAAGTGACATATCCAGGTCAGAGTAAGGGGATGGGGAGAAAGTTGGAAGAACCAGGGGTTGGCTGAAGTAGAAATCAGAAATCACTTTGGACAGAAAAGACAAATCAGGGACAACAGTGACTTTATTTCTGTACGGTCATGGCCGACAGTGTACAATTCACTTGCTGATTCTGTGGAATTCTTTTCTTCAAAACCTGTGCTCAAGATGCTCTCAATATTGACGGTGCCATCCCATTGAAGGAAGAGGACTTTGGCGCTGACAATGCTTTTGAGTTGAATGGTACGTCGTTAAGTACCAAGAGGTGGTAACTGAACCATCACAGCCCCTCTTGGTGCCCAGTAGGTCTGGGTGGTTGCAATAGGCCCCAAATGATGGCCTGCTTAGAAAGAGTCTCAGAAACAGACATTTCTGGAACCGCGAAGATTGCTGAGATAGCAAGTCAACCATCTGAAGGGATTTTTCCCACAAGCAAAACTTTAAACGAGATTGTTAGTTCTTAATTGCAACTCACACAAACTTGCAGCAATGCTGGCAAGATGGTATCTGATGCCCCTCACAAGACAGCAAAAACACTTTGAATGGCTGTAGGACCCATTGAAAAGGGGCCACAGAAGACAGGAAGGCCTTGCTGCAACAAAAGGAGAAATACCTCAGAATGAGAAGGATTCAGAACAATGAAAAACTAAAACTATTTTTAAGGGGGACTCACAGAGAAAAGAGGACTCGAAAGATAAACAACAGCAACAACAGGTAAGGTTCTGGAGGGGAGTAAGAAAAACAGCTCATAGCAAATGTCCCTATTATTTTCATCAGTGGCTAAAGGGGATTGAAGAATAATTGTTGCGACATGTGCAGCAGAGAAGGCTAGTCTAATAGTTCTCAATTTAAGCTCTAGAATGTTCCAATGAGTTTCGTACAGGTGCAGAAACACTCATATGTGTGATTCAGAGACTACAAAAAAGAAATAAGAGTTAGGATCCTAAATATAGCTTTTCAGGGACTTTTATGTAGAGACAAAGAGCACTATTATAACAATACAACATAACTCTACAAAGAAATAGAGGAGAGAAACAAAAGAAGAAAAGCAAAATATTGGGAGGAGCCAAGAAATCAAAGGGAAATTTAAACCAAGATTAGGGATGCTGAAAAGTATTATCTAATAGGAAACATATTAATTAATAACAGCAAGATACTTAAAATATGGAAACAACATATTAACTATACAGAAAAGATGCGAGGATGACCTATTCCTTCAAAGAAGAATTATTTGATGGAAACTTTGCAATTTAAGAAAGTGAAGTGAAAAATGAAAAGAAAAGGCACTAGAGATCATGGTACAAATATGCATTGGTTACTGGAGCATATGAAGAGAATTCATGAGAAAACCAGTTTGTATTTTATAGATTACAATGAAGCCTTTCACTGTATGGGTCATAAAAACATATGGATTGTTCTTAAAAATGGGTCAGCCACATCCTTTGACTATCTTGCTATACAGCCTATATAACAGACCAGTGGTGGCGAACCATTTTGGGCTCACGTGCCCAAAATGAGGGGGGGACAGCGGGTGGCGTGCTGCCGCCACTATGGACCCAGAAGACTGGAACCGGAAGTGGCGGTTTAAGGGGGAATCATGGCGACGGACCCGGAAGTGGCGGCGGAAGGGAGAATCCCAGCTCCAGCTGCCTCATGAGGTTTGGCTGCATAGGGGAGGCAGAGGGAGTAGCGACCTATGACTCGTGTGCCAGAAGGGCTCCGCGTGCCACCTGTGGCACGCGTGCCATAGGTTCTCCATCACTGGAATAGGCTAATAGGACAAAACAAAGAGAAACAATACGGTTTCTCATTGGTTACTGGTGTCAGAGAATGGTGTATATTATCTCTATACTGTCCAATTTATATGCAGCATATCATACAAAAAAAGTGAAAATTAGCAAAAGAAATGCTAGTACTGTAATTTAAAATATGCAAATGATACCATATTACTGGCAGAATACAGCAAAAATCTGAAGTAACTGCCAATGAAGGTTAAAAAAATACAAAAGCAGGATTACAGCTTAACACTAAAATTTTGTATTGCATTGTTTACTTGTATGCTAATTCTTTTTAATTTTTTGGATTATTTGTATTTATGTGAACTGCCCAGAGAGTGCACAATGCACTATTAGGTGGTATATGTTAAATAGATAAACATTAAGTATAAGGATACGTTATGGGAGACCATAGCTGAGATAAACTTTAGTATGACACTCCCAATTACTATGTAGAGATATGAAAGGCGGACAATGTAGAAAGCTCAAAGGGAGAAAAATTTATTGAAAATGAGTTGAAAGTCTGACCTCACATTTGAAGCTATTATGACTAAACTTGTAGTTTGGATGTATCATGAGAAGACTCACTAGAAAAGAAAGTACAATTAGGAAAAGTGGAAGACAACAGAAAAGTATGAAAGCCACAACATGAAATCAGCTGGCTCCACAAAGACAGCCACAGCCTTTAACTTGCAGGATCTGAGCACAGTTGTTAATGATAGCAACTTCTGGAGATCATTAATTCACAGACACTGTAAGTCAGAAGCAACTTGATGTGTAACAAGGATATATACTGTAAAATGTTCAAGAACCATGGGCTAGTAGGATACCACAATTACCTAAGTAACTCTTCTAAATTACTTTGAAAAGAAAGTATTTCAGAGAGAACACATAAACAACCCAAGGAATCAAGGTCTGTGTTTAGAGCCTATAACTTCCCCTATCTCTGTTATTTTCAGCAAAACCTTAGATCTTATGCTTGGTTGGTGAGGAAAACACATATACTGCAGAACTGCTTCCAGATAGCTTTGAATGTGGTCAGAATGAGGCCCCTCTCTCTTGCTTCAGAAATATGGCAGGTGATCAGTCCACTGTTGTATTCAATCCTCCTTGATAGGGTAAGCCGCAAACTGTTTATGGCTCACAGTAGTAGCTCAAGGACTTTTTTGTGGAGGGACCTAAGTTGTTCCATCCATGTCAATTTTCAGATGTCTTAGCAATAGTGATGTGTGCCCTAATGAAGATATGTGACTGACTGTGGATGTGAAGGCTTGAATATTAAGATGACTTGCCTATTGCATAGACCCAGGGCCTGAGCAATTTTGTTTTTGCCAAAGGACTGTGTTCTTGGAAGACAGTCCTTGAGACAGATGTTGGATCATTCACTACCATCAATAAGATGCAGGACTCTTGCGGGTATGCCCTTTGAAAATTAAGTAACACCCATTATGTGTCTGGAGCGCAGATGAACCTGCGGCCGAAACTTTCTGGTTCTTACTGAATGTTTGCTTTCCCGCCTTCTTTCTTTCTTTTTCAAGCTGTGTGAACTATCATCAGTGTACCAACATTTTAATTTGAGGCTTCCTCCAAAGATGAAAGGTCAGGTTCACCAAAAGTGTCCTCTGGTGGCCATTGCGGTTATTGCTTTCAGGGATTTTACCTTGCTTCTAAAAGCAGCAAGCTTGTTAAAGAGTGTTGAGCCTTGAATGTCCACAAGGGAGGCTATACACTTTTGTTTTTTTGCATTCATGAGACAAACTTTTGATTTTTCCCCCTCATGCTAAACTAACATAAAGCAAAGTTTTATACATTGGATCTTAAGACAGAGCGTTTTAGGAGCATTATTTTAATCTGGGTCTTTATTTTCACCTCAGTCTTCTAATTATATATTATTTATGGATGTGGACTCTTCTTATAACACACTTATCTATTGTCACAATTAAAAATTAGATCCTGAGGATAAATTTAGTTCCAAAGCGTCATGACCTGGATACCAATCAATGTTAAGATGCCAAAAATCCTCTTCAGGCATTCGGCATGATCTCCTCAAAGTATGAGTATGTTACAGGGCCATGTATTTATGATCCATCACGAAGTGTGTACTGATCCCACCTTCTCAGTTCACACCTTTCTGTTGATTGGCAAATGAATGATAAGAGAATATAGGAGAATTAGACTACCATCTTACCTTTCTGTTGATTGGCAAATGAATGATAGGAGAATTAGACTACCATCTGTCAGATATGCTTTGAATTAGGGTCCTGCACTGAGCAGAGAATTGGACTCCATGGCCTTATAGACCCCTTCTGACACCATTATTCTATTATTCACGTTCATTTGAACATATAGGCAAAATTATATATGATTTGCAGACCCTGCTCGATCAGGACCCCTAACTGTACTGAGAATTCTGCTTGATCAGACCAAAGACTCTCTAGTGTGACTGGGGCAACTGGTAAACTAGAGTCTATGATCACCCAGAGAATTCTATTAATGTTCATGGAAATCTAAGCAAAGCATTCTTTCAGATCTTGTCATTCAGTACAGCAGGATCTCATCTGAAAAACAGGTCCAGAAAACACTAGGATATATGGTGCAAGGGCAACAACCATGGCTTTGCATCTTATTCATAAACTGAAATTATCCTGTTCAGTATCGTCTGCATTTAGATGGCAGCTTGCTTAGTAGGCTCACCGAGTCACTGGCAGATGAAAGAAAGCTAGGAGAATCTGACTAAGGTCAGTTTCAACACCACAGTGGTGCCTTGCTTAACAACTACCTCATTAAACTATGAATCCGCTTGACAATGAGGTTTTTGCAATCGCCATAGCGATCGCAAAACAAGGTTTTAATGGGAGGAAATCGCTTTACGATGATCAGTTCCCTGCTTTGGGAACCGATTTTTTGCTTAACGATGGTTTAAAAACAGCTGATCGGTGGTTCTCAAAATGGCCGCTCGCTGTGCAAAATGGCTCCCCGCTGTTTTTGAGATGGATTTTTCACAAGACAGGCACCGGAAAATGGCCGCCCTATGGAGGATCTTCGCTGGACGATTAGGTATTTAGCCCACTGGAACGCATTGAGCGGTTTTCAATGGTTTCCCTCCGCTTGACGACAATTTCGCTCTACAGTGATTTCGCTAGAACGGATTAACGTCATCAAGCGAGGCGCCACTGTACTTGTAGTCTACTTTGGATGGTGTTAGGGATTTGGAGGGAGAGCTTCTTCTTATTTCCACAAAGTATGTCAAGATAAATTTACAGGTCTGAGCAGAATAAAGTATATTAATGAGCAGCCATAATGAAAATATGTGTAGAAACTGAGTCATGATGACTCAGCAGTGCTGACTCATGCATGATGCAACACATAATGTGACTGGACACAAGCAGATCTGTATATGTATATATATGTGAAACTGAACAGTTGGTGTATCTTCCTCCTTTGTGATGAATGTTACCTGTTATGCTGCCAGACTGAACTGCTGTAAATATCTTGTAAATACATGTTGGTGGAGGAGAAGCTGCTGGTGTGTGCGTGAGTTATTCTGGACTACCTGGAGAATTTAATACTCTGCTAAACCTGCTGTTTTCCCGTGTTTTTGCTAACAAAGCAGAACTTGAGGATGAATCTCGAGGCAAAATGGAGAGTGTGGAACAGCCCCCACTAAGGTTCACCAGGGGACACAGCAGATGTTGTATTGGATAATATTGTGTCCCAAATCAAGAGAGCAGAGACAAATGGAATCCTATTTCTGACCTTTAAAAATTAAACTTGGATGCCTGAGTGGCATCTCTGCAAAATCTGCAAGGAGAACAGGATGAAAACACCAAGTACAATCCAGCATCAGGTTCCCACCCAACACACAGCATTACTAAAAGAGCACTAGAAAGCAGTACCTGTACATGCTGTATCATTATAAGTTAACATTAGAGATGGACACGAATTAAAAAAAACAAATCACCAAATTTATTTTAAAAAATTGCAAATTCAATTGTACTTGTGCAAATCAATGCCCCAATGAATATGAATCAACAGATTTTTAGCAGTTTGCTGATTCGTCAATTCGTTTGGCTACAAAACGGCTCCCAAAGGACCTAGAGACACTATAACTGCAGGGAAGCTTCCTCTGACTCTCTTCTACAATCCTTTAAGTTTAGTGAAGATTGAGTTTCAGATGTCTGAATTCTATACCCACAAAGAGGGGCCCCTAGACTCCTAGAGACACCAAAATCATAGATAAGCTTCTACTGACACTTCGCTATAATCCCTCCGTTTGATGAAGATTGGGTTTCCCCAAGTCAGTTGCTAAAGGACACTTTCCGGGGGGGGGGCAGACTTTGTGGATGTATAACTTGGATGTTTGAAACCCAATCTTCACAAAACCTGGAGGGACTGCAGAGGAGAGTGAGTAAAAGCTTCTCTGTGATTATGGTGTCTCTAAGTGCCTGGGGGGGGGCCTTTCTGGGAGGGGCTCCTTGTGGCTGTATAACTCAGACCTCCAAAATCCTAACTTTACCAAACATGTGTGGCTTGTAGTCAGGGGAAGCTTCTTTGAAATTTTGATATCTCTAGGTGCTTTGGAGGCTGTTTTATAGGGTTTTAAAGCAAAAAATGAATTGATGAATCGAATTGTAAAAAAAAATCATTGGTAAAAAATCATTAATTTGTAATTTGTCAACCTTGACAAATCACAAATCAAAACAAATCACTCTTCTGATTCATGCCCATCCCTAGTTAACACTTTATTAACTAAGGAAAACTGGCTGCTGGTAACCCCCTTTCAATTTTGAGCTTAAGTATTACCTTGGAGTTGAGGTGGCACAGTGGTTAAGCAGCTGTACTGCAGCCAAAACTGTGCTCACGATCTGGGGTTCAATCCCAGGCAGTCAGCTCAAGGCCAACTCAGCCTTCTGTTCTTCCGAGATTGGTAAAATGAGTACCCAGCTCGCTTGGGGGGACAGGGCAATGTGTAGCCTGCATAATTAACTTGCAAACCGCCCAGAGAGTGTGTTAAGCGCTATGAGGTGGTATATAAGCAGCACGCTTTGGGGTGCTGGGGAACTGAAGCATGCAGAAGGGGTAGGGAAAGATAAATGATTACAAGTACCTGACTTATTCACAAGATAAACTTTGCATTAAATCTTAACCAAACTATATTACAAGAGACAGGTTTGCAATCTGATATTCTACCACTGAATGGCATTTATTAATAATCTGCTATTTCCATACTTCGAGGGTTTCCTCTTCCACGTCCTCGTCCTCGTCCTCTCCCTCTCCCTCTTCCTCGATAAAATCCTCGAACACTGCCAACTTCACTTCTCACACTAGAAACTTCATCATGATCATCTCGTTTTTCCCTCTCTCGTCGCCAGCCTTTAGGACACAGAAGAAGAGTACAGTATAAATTCCTATGAGCATACAACTGAGGTTTTAACATGCAAATAGTGATTATATTAAAAGCAAAACAGAAGAATATTAAACGACATACCGGTTCTTGTTTCAGTGCGTCTACTGGGAGGCACAAGCTTGCTAGTTTCTGGCTGAGATCTCAAACCGTTTCGAGTTCCTAATCTATCTTGGTTACCTGGTTTCACATCATCTAAATGAAGTGGCACCCATCTGTGCTTGTTACCTTCAAGCATAAAATACAGAATTATAATGTTGTTAAAAAATCCCCTACCTACACAAAACACAATTCTTAAAGATTCCTTGTCATAGTTTAAATTAAAATGTTTAGTCTTAAAATAGGGGCAAATATCAGAAAATGCCTTTCTATGCAAAAACATAAGGCCAGTGCATGCAAAAAACCATATCCATCCAAATCCCAATCTCAGATTCTTAAGAAAACACTCTGATAGGTGATTAAAATACAATATTCATATTGACTGGAATTCATTATTGTGGCAGAATGCCCATGTCACTCCTGTCTATCATAGCTGAAGCTCAACTGCAGGAGCCTATGAGAAGACAGGCGAGGCGGAGTCAATTAGACAGGGAGAGGGAGACAGAGAAAAAAGGAGAGAGGGGTTGATGGAGAGTTAGAGAGAACAGAAGAGTTGGAAAGTGGAGAGATAATGAGGAGGAGAGTTGTGAAAGGGATAAACTGAATAGTCAAGATAAAGAGATAGTCAGAGATTATTAATGAGTTGGTTACTGTGAATAAGTAAATACAACACCTGAATAAACAAACGTGAAATCAAATACAAGAAGTTTTAATGAGTGATCCTACACAATAAAAGAACATACAGTGGTGCCCCGCTACACGATTACCTCGCAAATACAGTTAATTCGCTAGACGATAAGTTTTTGCGATCGCTATAGCGCTTCGCAAAACAGTTTTTCCTGTGGGCAATTTTCACTGGATGATGTTTTGGACCGTGCTTCACAAGACTTCTTTTCCCCCAGGGCCGATTTACACAAGACAACTATTTTGACAGCTAAGTCCACGACTCGCAAAACGGGTGTTTTCAGGACTGTTTTTACAGCTGATCCACGCTTCACAAAATGGTTTCTCTATGGGTGATTTTTGCAAAATGATGATTTTTTTCCCATTGGAACGCATTAAATGGATTTCAATGCATTCCAATAGGGAACCGCATTTTGCAAGACTATGTTTTCAGAAGACAGCGATTTTCATGGAAAGAATTAACATCGTCTTGCGGGGCACCACTATATGTGATTTAAATACCAAAAGATAATTAAATAAATTACATTGGCAGCATGTGTCTGATGCATATATGGTGCAGTGTGGGTGAGAGATATTCACTGTGGTGGCTGCGAAGAAAGATGAAACGTATCCAAAGAGTGAACCTTGGTTTGGGGGGAAACAGGCAACACTGGGTGGAACGTCACAATTATCACATATTGACAAAGACTCTACATTATTAGGTTGCATTTAGAATGACATATTTTATCAAGAGTTGATACAACACCCCTACAACAACAGAGGACATTAATAATTTTCAGTTCAAAATCTTTTCACAATTACTTTGAATACAATCTCTCCTATAAAAAGAAAGGCTCATTTTCAACAAGGACAATTAAAAGTAGCTTTCCTAAAATCCTATATTTAAAATGAAAAACTAAATACGCATTATCTAATCAGTTTCAATATTCTAACCTGAGGGCTAGGAAACACACCTGCAAGGAAATTAAATTAATTCTTTTGAAGAAAAGCAATAGTTGTAAATTCTCTGCGGCATGCATCTAAATCTAAACCCCTGTATGAAGGCAATATTTGCTAGCAAACTTTTCCACAGATAGTAATAGATAAGGAATGAATAACATTTGGCAGCAACAGACCTCAATGAGATCTTGAAAAAGTAAGTTTCTTCAGTTTCATAACTGGCTGACTTTGTTTAGATTGATTATTAATGAACTTGTCACGTTCCCGGGAGTTACAACAGCAGAGTCCGATAAGCCAGTCCTATGTCAGGAATTCAGGGAATGCAGAGCTGATAACCAAATACCAAAGCCAACTCATATAACATAGTCCAGGGTCAGAGTATAAAGCCAAAACACAGAATGTAGTCCAGGGTCAGGGTCCAGAGAACAAAGTTCAAGGTTGTCAGGAGCATGGATGCAAGCCAGATGTTTGACTTGTTGCTTCCACAGACTTTCAGCCATCTAAGAGCTGTTTATATAGTAAAAACAGCCCTTGAACTGCTGGAAGCCTTTTCATCCTGTCAGAACTCAGAGCTAGTTGATCAGATGTTTCTGCGGGCAGCTTTCAAGCGATCCTCTGACCTTTTTGTCATAAGTCTTCCCCGAAGCCTGGCCCTCAGCCTGTCTACTGGGGGAGGAGAATCTGGAGGCGATTCAGGTGTGTGTATTTCTAATTGCTCAGCATTATCCTCAGCTACAGTTAACCCTTCAGGTTCCGGATCTTCAGCTGAACTCATGACAGAACTCAAGTTCTGATACTGTAAGTCATCCTTGCTAGAAAAGTGAATGAAAACTAAAGGACAGATCAGGATGAAGGTCTCAAAATGCCTGTTTCGTTGCCGGTTTCTGTTTAATATTAGATACTAAACAGACAGCTGAAGGACTTTTGATCCATTGAATGTAAAGACTCAGCAACATCATCATCATTACTCTTTTTTTCTTTCATACATCTTTAAAGAGATTTTGAGCATTTTAATCATAGCAAACTTCTTACAACTTCCACAATGTCTTTCATCACATAATTTCTTGCCTTTGCTCAGTTTAGGTGGCTAAAAGTCAATTATTTTTAAAAATCAAACTGATTTAAAACAATTTAAATTTAAAAACTGATTTTTTAACATTTACATTGTCAAAAAACCCCAGCTTTTTAAAAATTAAAATGACAATTTAAATTTTGATTTAAATCAAATCCACTCTGATAGGCCATCATCATGTCAGAAAATGCCATTCTGCATTTCAAGATGGTGGGTAGCTATTATTTTCAAATTCCTCTTGAAAACAACTCTGTTTTATCCAAAACTGCATGGATTTCTTTCTATTTTATACTGGTTAGGTCTCATCTTGAGTACTACGTCTAGTTCTGGACACCGCACTCCAAGAAGGATTCCGACAAACTGGAACAAGTTCAGAGGAGGGCAGCAAGAATGATCAGGAGACTAGAAACCAAGCCTTATGAGGAAAGAATAAAAAAAAACGGGCATGTTTAGCTTTGAGAAAAGAAGACTGGAGGGAGATATGATAGTACTTTTCAAATACTTGAAAGATTGTTGTAGCGCTCACCCTGCAGATGAATATTTATACTGAGATTTGCATGCACCAATAGGAGTTGGTGAAGGGTGGGGAGAAGAAAAGAGGAGAGTCAGAGAGGGAGAGAAGGCAGCTGAGAGTGGAAAGAAGAAGGTTATTTAGTTGAGAGTTAACAACTTTGACTGGACCTTTTATCACTTTGAACAATAAACAATTTCTACAGGGTTCTTAAATATGTTGGCAGGAACTCTGTCATTAATAGTGAAAAAAATTGATCTAATCAACTGGTGGCAGCTAAACGATATGTAGCGTGTGCCTTTGCTTGGTGAAACAACCAAGGGACAGGCGAGAACATGATAAATTGGTGGCATAGGGGTTGGATCCGAAACAATCCAGTGTGAAATTGAATTTTCTTTAGTCTGGAGGGGAAAGGGGTTAGGCTCTGTGGTGTAAGAGGTAGTTACCTGTTAAGAGTCTTGTGGAAGACTTCGTTTCGGGGCTTCAGAGCCAGGTCTGAGGAATCCCAAGAGGAGGTCCTTTTGGCTCTTGTGAGGGAAAAGAACCAGTCCAATTTAATAAGAAATTGTATTATTTATGCCACCCAAACGAAGTAAAAAGTTCGTTATGGAGGCACAGGTTGAGCTCCAAGCTGCTGAGGGAAATGGGAACCTTCAAATTCAAAGTGATGAAGAAACTGAGGGACAAGTAATAATTTCCTTAGAAGGTGAAAATATCCAAAGCTCCCAAGATTTTGAAAAATGGAATCTAGAACAGGAATTTAAACTGAAGGAGTTAGCTATGAAAAACCAATTAGAATAAGAAAAAGAAAAATCCCAATCAGAATCGGAAAAAGAAAACCAAAAACGAGAATTTGAGCACGAAAACAGGCAAAGAGAAATAGACGGGATAATTTAGACCAGTTTCTTAACTAGCAGTAATTTCCTGCTTATGCAGGTGTAATTATTACCGTGTATTCTAGGCAACATAAAAACAAGTAGATTAAAAACACATCAATAAAAGGTGTAATGGCTGAAATCCTGCTTCCATAATTATGCCTCTGAAAGGTTGATAATGTCATCAGCAAAGGGTTTTTCAGAAACCCTATTTCTGTCCCATGGCTCCCACAACTCTCATGGAATCCCCTTCATCATTTGGCACCCATGGGAGTCTAAGCATGGGAGGAGGGAGTCTGACTATCAAAAAATGCTGTGGCAGGGTATAATTTCTGGCATTGGTGATTTTTGGTAAAGACTTCCTCCTCTCATTCTGTGGCTGTCATGGTTTGCAAATAAGGAGTATAGGAACTATAGGACAGAAATACTTTGTGTTTAATTTCTGATAAATAGCTTCTGTTGATCATACCATCAGCCTTATACAACATAGTTGTGTGAACAGGATTTCAGCCAACAAATTACTAGACACAAGCAGAAGGCCCCTATCTTTCTTTGTTTATATATTGGGCAAACAATTTGGGCATACCCTGTGCCCTGAAAGAGACATTACAATCAACACTAGCCGTACTCTGTGACATTACCTGTCTGCTTATTTTCTCTATGAAAAAGAACATTAGGGCAAGGAGGGGTGGAAATGGATATGACTGAGAGAGGGAGGCACACCATGCCATCCATTTCAGCCATGTAGCAGAGATGGCAGCCACAATCCCAGCAGGCTGTGTTTGCACCTCACGTTCCCGCCAGGCCCTTGGTTGTTTCACCAAGCAAAGGAGCACACTACATGTCGTTCAGCTGCCACCAATCAATTACATCAACTTTGTTCACTATTAATGACAGAGGTCCGGGCGACGTATCATTTAAGAACCAAGTAGAAATTGCTTATTGTTACAAGCGAGAACAGTCCAGCCAATGTCGTTAACTTTCCACTAAAACAACCTTCTCTTTTCACTCTCAATCGCCTACTCTTTCTCTCTCTTCCCCTCCTTTT